GGTAACATCCCTCCTGAAAATGAACAATACCACATTGAAGCAAGTTGGTTTAAAGTTGGGAAGCATGCTACAGGGTCTATATTTTGCTGGGGATTACTTAATTCTTTTTGCTTTAAAAAGGAACTCAGGAGAAGGAGGACATACAAGAATTTGATTTACATGATACCAAAGGACAAATGCCAATAAATGAGCCTCTCTCTCGTGAGGATACAATGGATGCTCAAAATGACTTGATGCAGATCAATTACATGAGGGGCTGGTCAGATCCTGAGACAAGGAAAGTTTCCCTGCATTCATGAGAGCTCTTAAATGCAGCCACTGTTCCCCGACTGAAATAGCTGCTGCTCACTGAGGTGTGGGACACTGATTTGGGAAGAACTTGGTAAATGTTATCTGCATATTTAAGGGATTATTTCTTCTATTGTTAAGGATAAATCCAAGTGCACGTCTTGCTAAAGTTTCATTTCTACTTCTTACAAGTTTCATTTCTACTTGTCCTGACATGTATATGTATGTGCCCTTGAACAGGAGCAAAAGATACAGTTTTTGATCTGAGGCTGTCCATTTTTACCTATAAAACATCACACAGTGAAATTTTCTCATCTGAAAAATGGAGAATCTGACTTGAGGGATGCTGTCATAGGGCTCAGAATAGATAATGCATGTGATGTGCAATATGTATATAGGTCCCTATGGCAGGAATGCTGTACAATAAAACAAAACACATTTTGGGATGAATAATGGCACAGGATTTAACCACATCAAAAACTAATGATGTACTGTAAGTGGCTAACGGAACATAATAAAAAGTTAAATTAAATTAAAAAAAAAGAAATAGAGGTAAGAGGTCCTGCTTCAATGAAGACAATTCAGAATGACTATGGAAAGAATAAAGCAGAATATATAAATCATAAATACATTAAAAAACAGATTATTATGATGATCAGTAGCCGACACCTAAGAAAAAGTTATGAGGACTTATCTTCCTGAGTTACTTGGAAGGAGAAGGTGAAGATCATGATACAGTGTCAAAGCAGAGACCAACACTCCATACTGAGGATGCACCAATGGCACATGATCATCTACACAGGAGGAAGAGAACTTCCTCCAGGGGTAAAGTACTCTGCTCTCCATCAAGTTGATTCACAAGTTCTTAAACAGACAGAAATTATGGTGATAGTATGCTGGTTTTGAGCAAAGTCTAGGAAGTGAATTTGTCCCCAAAAGAAAAGTTAGTTAACAAAGGTTGTGTGCAGAAGAGGGTGGTTTGTGTCTAGGCAAACAGGAGCAGGAAGCCTGGCAGTAGTTCGACATATGACAAGGGCAGCAGCAGGTGGTCCTATTGCAGGTGGTCTGAAAGCACCTTGAACGGCAGCAGAGGTGGCAGCAGTAGGAACCACAACAGCTGGGCCGGAAGCAGGTGGTCCTACAGCAGGTGGTTTGACAGCAATTTGGGCAGCAGCACCAAGGCTGGCAGCAGCTGGACCCACAGCCTCCTTATCCACAGCTGCCAGCGCACCTGGAGCAGTTGGGCTGGCAGCAGGTGGTCCTGCAGCACATAGGCTGGCAGCAGGGGGAGTAGCATGACTCTGTCACGGGTGGAGAGGGGGCTTCTGTTCACAGGTGAGTATCTCAGATTCTGATGCCTCTTCCAATTATGGGACTTTTAGGCACTGGATGCCCCAAATTTGGAGCAAGAATAGGATTTCCTTATTGTTTACCTTGATTTCCAAAGTCACTGGGGAATTATAAAAGAGAAAGCTTCTCCTTAAATATTTTGAATCTTTAAAAAATAAATGATTAATGTGTTTCTTAATTGAAATTAACTCATAAAAACATTTTCAGATGAAAGCAAGGTGGTTACATCCGAAGCATCATTCTTGTTTCAATAATTTCATCATGTGACCTAATTCCCACTGGCCTGGGAAGTGGTTGGCGAGTCAGTTTAGTGGTCCTTCCCCAGCGTTGGTCCTTAGGTTGCATGTAGATTAGGACTATCCCTGAGATGAGGGGCATGATTGTTGTTGGTATGTTCATAGAGATGAACTGGGATCATGCCTGAGCCCAAGTCGGTTTCCCCACAAAGCCTGATTCCAGACTCCCACAGCATCTGTCTCTTGTGGCACCCTACCCCACCTCAGTGTCCCAGTTCAATCAAAGACACCTGGGTGGAAGACATGGGGCTTCACCTCTTCCATATGTCAAGGCAGAATCGAGCAGGTGGATAGAAACAGCAGCGGTACACCAAGACCAGGCAAGCATCCGTCACCGAACTTCCTGAGTGACCAGCAGTCCTGATTCACCCAGAAACGAGGGCTTTTAGAGGATGTGGGACGTTCAGTGATATACCTGGGGCAGTTTGGGAAAACCAGGAAGAGTTGGTGACTCTAGTCCTCAACAAGCAGAGTGAGCTGCTTAATGCACTGACTACACACTTACTGTTGTCTCTTCCTCCCATCTTCCCTCCCTCCGTCTACCTTCCTCTCTCCCTGCCTCCCGTCTCCTCCTCTCTTCCCTCTTCTTCCTCCTCTGCCTCCCTCTTGTACCAATTGTGCCTGGCCACCATCATTAAGAAGAAAAAATTGGGTCTGAGTGGGGAAGACCATAGACCATAGATGATGCCTTAAATATGCCAGCCATATATCTCAGATCTTACTGTGTTTGGGACAATTTCTACCTGTCAGATCCGCATCTTTATGCCTAATGGTTGTTTTCATGCTACAGCAGAATGTCACACTGCCTGGTGCGTGACACGCTGATGGAAATGCTCAACTGATGCTTCTGGAGAGTTGGTTTATAAAGACTCCAGATCCCTTGTTGCTGAATTAGGAGAAGCCCAATGAGTGTGTTACATCATTTCTGATATATCTCTCAGGTTTAAGCTTCACTTGCAAGCTGGCATGCTGGACTCATAGTGCCTCTTCCCTGTGTCACTTTCCCACATTCCAACCAGTGGGATCGGCCCTCGCCAAAGAAACAATATGCCTGGATGCTGTTCTTCAGAGAGGCTTCTGGGAGATACCAAACTCGGATATGACTTTACCCATCTCAGTCTTGATTTCCTCATCCCTGAAATGGGAACCTTGATACCTATGTTGAAAATTACTTCAAGAATTAAAGAAAATGTACATGAAGCATTTGGCCAATACTTAGCAAGTAGGAAGCAACCCAGGTCGTGTCTGTTCCTCACGTCATCAGGCAAATGCCCAGGTCCTAAGGACCAGCAGGAGGCGTGTTTGGTCTTGGCAGTCTGTCCAGAGCCTCCCGCATAGCTGGTCTTCAACTTTGGTGTGTGCACCAGACAGGAGTCTTCCTAGCTCATCAGAGGTCCCTCCACTGCTCCCGGGAGGTGACTCAGGGCCTAAGTCTGCCCTTTCTCTCAGAGCCTGAATCCAGCCTCACATCCCTGAGCGCAGAGGCAGCATCATGCATTAGTTTGACCAGAAGCGCCAGCCTTCTGTCTATCATGAGTCCTGTGAATACCCATGCTCTTTTCTCTTTCTTCTTCCTCACTTAGTCTGCCCACCACCCGCCCTCCCACCCACCCCCGCCTAAGCTCTGCTCCTGGAGCGTCACGTTGACTTCCCTGGAATGCTTCACAGTTCCTTCCCAAAACGCTGGAGGCTGTTTGTTCCCTTAGATGGTTCAGAGGTAATGGATTACCCCAAGTCATCCTGCACGCCCAGTGCACGGGCTCTTGCCCCTGATGTCGCCTTTCCTTACTTTTCTTGGTGATATGTTGATCACAACGCCAAATCGCCTTCCAGGTGGGGAGCATGATGTGTTTGGCAGAAAATTGCCTGATACCTCTGTACTCTGCCAGTGGGTCCTGAGGGCCATGAGGCCCAACCAGAAGGGGACTTCCATGACCCAACGGGCCATGCGTGAGCAGCTGCGGCCCTCAGTCATGAGGCCACTGCAGGCTCACCTATCTGATGCAGAGGGGTGCCTGAAGGGCTGGACGGCACCTGAGGAAACGAAAGGATCCAGTGTTCCTAAGAGCTTTAAAGGGCAGGGCCCGCTGCCCTCCCACGGGACTGCAGGTCAATGAGTGGTAGGACATGAATATCTACCACTTGGTCCCAGATATCGCCTGTACCTCCTACAGGAGAACAGGACTTCCATGGTCCCACAAAGACACTCATACGAACTTCTTGCTGGTGCTCAGGCCCAGGGCGCTGCCTAACTCGCCTGCAGATGGGAATGGGTGTGCCCTTCAGCAAGGGCAGGAGTTGCAGCCTGGTGTCCGAGTGTGTCTCTGTCAGCTCTATGACATGACGTGCCAAGATTTCCTCATCTGCAAATGGAGATATGAATTTGTGGGGAGTCTATGAGGCCCCAAAAGGATAGTTTATGTGGTATGGGACCTGTATATAAATCGTTGCATCGCGAATGCCGTACAAGGACACGAACACCAGATGGGATGCAGATCAGTGCGGGGTTTATCAAGAAATTCACGTGAGATTCCCTGTGTCTAGGGAGACATTCAAAAGGATCATGACCGGAAGAAATCAGCATTTCTCTGAGTGCACTGAGAAAGAAAACATAGTTGTGCAGACATTGATAGGTGCCAAAACATGAATCAAGCAAGAGGATTTATTTCTCAAAGGCAGTTAGACAGGATGAAGACCCTGACTATGGAGTCAAAGCAGAGATCTTGACTCCTCTTGACTCCGTATCTGGAGGCCTGAAGCTGGCAGGGTCTCACAAGACCTGAGGAAGAAGAGAATCAGGAGAAGTGGTCCCCACTTCATCAAGCTGATTCAGAGGCTTTGGAACAGGCAGATGAGTAACAGAAATGTTGGCGATTGCATGCTGGCGTTCAGTAACATTTGGCAGTGTCTTTGTTTCCCAAATGGCAAATCAGTGCTGTGTGCAGATGGTGGTTCTTGGTGAGGCGGTCAGCAGTAGGGAGGCTGGCAGCGTCTGGACATGGAGCAGGGGTGGCAGCAGGTGGTCCTCCGGCAGGTGGTGCGGCAGCAGTTTGGCTGGCAACCAGGCTAGCAGCAGCTGGGTCCACAGTCCTGGGCTAGGCATCCAGGCAGGCAGCAGCAGGTGGGTAGGTAGCAGGTTCTCCTGCAGTACACGCGGGTAGAGCAGGCTGGCTGACAGCAGCTGGACCCACAGCAAGGTTGTCCACAGCCACTGGACCCACAGCAGCTGGGTTGACAGCAGCTGGAGACACAACAGCTGGGCCGGCAGCAGGTGGTCCTGCAGCAGGTGGTCTGACAGCAAGTTGGGGGGCAGCAGCAAGGCTGGCAGCAGCTGGACCCGCAGCAGCTGGACCCGCTGCCGCCTTGTCCACAGCCGCTGCCACACCCGCAGCACCTGGGCCGGCAGCAGGTGGTTCTGCAGCAGGTGGTCCGACAGCAAGTTGGGGGGCAGCAGCAAGGCTGGCAGCAGCTGGACCCGTAGCAGCTGGACCCGCTGCTGCCTTGTCCACAGCCGCTGCCGCCACACCCATAGCAGCTGGGCTGGCAGCAGGTGGTCCTGCAGCACGTAGGCTGGCAGCAAGGGGAGCAGCAGCACGACTCGGTCATGGTGTCACGGGTGGAGGGGGAGCTTCTGTTCGTTCAGAGGTGAGTTTCTCAGATTCTGTTGTGTCCTCTTGTTGTGGGGCTTTTATGCACTGGATCCCCAAATTTGGACCAATGGGCCTGACTGTCTTGTTGTTGTTTACATTGCTTGCCTAATAGTTTGGGAATTGAAGAAGAGGAAGTTTTTTTTCCCGAATGTTATGAATCTTTCGAAAATAAGTGCTTAACGTGTTTCTTAATTGAGAATAACTCATGGAGACATTTCCTGATGACAACAAGGTGGTCCCATCAGAAGCATCATTCTTGTTTCAATAATTTCATCACGTGACATAACTCCCCCTGGCCTGGGAAGTGGTTGGCGAGTCAGTTTAGTGGTCCTTCCCCAGCGTTGGTCCTTAGGTTGCATGTAGATTAGGACTATCCCTGAGATGAGGGGCATGATTGTTGTTGATGTGTTCATAGAGATGAACTGGGATCATGCCTGAGCCCAAGTCGGTTTCCCCACAAAGCCTGATTCCAGACTCCCACAGCATCTGTCTCTTGTGGCACCCTACCCCACCTCAGTGTCCCAGTTCAATCAAAGACACCTGGGTGGAAGACATGGGGCTTCACCTCTTCCATATGTCAAGGCAGAATCGAGCAGGTGGATAGAAACAGCAGCGGTACACCAAGACCAGGCAAGCATCCGTCACCGAACTTCCTGAGTGACCAGCAGTCCTGATTCACCCAGAAACGAGGGCTTTTAGAGGATGTGGGACGTTCAGTGATATACCTGGGGCAGTTTGGGAAAACCAGGAAGAGTTGGTGACTCTAGTCCTCAACAAGCAGAGTGAGCTGCTTAATGCACCGACTACACACGTACTGTTGTCTCTTCCTCCCACCTTCCCTCCCTCCGTCTACCTTCCTCTCTCCCTGCCTCCCGTCTCCTCCTCTCTTCCCTCTTCTTCCTCCTCTGCCTCCCTCTTGTACCAATTGTGCCTGGCCACCATCATTAAGAAGAAAAAATTGGGTCTGAGTGGGAAGACCATAGACCATAGATGATGCCTTAAATATGCCAGCCATATATCTCAGATCTTACTGTGTTTGGGACAATTTCTACCTGTCAGATCCGCATCTTTATGCCTAATGGTTGTTTTCATGCTACAGCAGAATGTCACACTGCCTGGTGCGTGACACGCTGATGGAAATGCTCAACTGATGCTTCTGGAGAGTTGGTTTATAAAGACTCCAGATCCCTTGTTGCTGAATTAGGAGAAGCCCAATGAGTGTGTTACATCATTTCAGATATATCTCTCAGGTTTAAACTTCATTAGCAAGCTGGGATGCTGGACTCACAGTGCTTCTTCCCTGTGTCACTTTCCCCCACTCCAACCAGTGGGATTGGCCTTCCCCAAAGAAACAACATGCCTGGATGCTGTTCTTCAGAGTAGCTTCTGGGAGATACCAAACTCCGACATGTCTTTACCCATCTCAGTCTTGATTTCCTCATCCCTACAATGGGAACCTTGATACCTATGTTGAAATTACTTCAAGAATTAGGAGTGAAGAGTTAAATGGCAGAGAAGTCGTGCTTTCCTGGCCCCTCAAACATAGCTCTCTTGAGGTCTGATCCCTTGGAATACCCAGGACATAAATTGGAAGAAGGATCTCCATGGTTGAAGGGAGACAGCATTACAGGTGTTAGGTGTGTGGAAGTGAATTGGGGAAGAGAAAAACTATCATGCCATGGAGGGCAGGGAGCCCTGTCTATGGGGAGAGAAAGGGGAGAGAAAGAGAGAGGGGTTGAAAGAGTCCAGCAATGGGTTTGCACAAGAAAACCTCTCTCGGGAAGTGGGGCGGCTCAGTCGGTTAAGCCTCTGACTTCAGCTCAGGTCATACTCTCTGGATCCTGGGACTGAGCCCCACATTGGGCTCCCTCAGTGGGGGCTCAGTGGGGAGTCTGCTTGTCCTTCTCCATTTCCCCCTTCCTGTGCCCCACTCATGTCCACTCTCTCTCAAATAAATAAATAAAATCTTTTAAAAAAAGAAAAAAGAAGAAAACCTCTGTGGACCACGGATTGGGGGAGCAAGGGGAACCAAGTATCACAGGTGTTTTGCAAACAGTGTGCAGAGCTCAAACTCTGAGGTTTTGGAAGTGCACGAAGTGGGAGCTTTGGCACGCGCTCCTGGGGAGAAGGAATGCCTAGCCAGAGAAGGCATAAATTGGTGTAGGGATCTCCTGGGTTCCACTGGGAAAGAATGCTCCCCTTGCTGTAGTACACTTGGAAGAGGGTATATTGCCTAAGGATAAAAGACCCTGCAGGTGCCAGCTAATGGCCTTTCATCAGTAGGGGACAGAGACCTGTGCAGAGGGCAGATAACCTGGTGATGCTTTTCTAGGTGCTATACCATAGATTTGGCACACTGCACAGGAATGGGACTGTTTTCTTGGACAAAGGACACTAGACACAGCACGATGGGGAGGCTCTACTCCAGAGGAAAGAGTGGATCTGTGCAGTGCAGGATCATTCAAGATTTGGAGTTCTGAATCCCAGCCATGCACCAAAGATAAAATGCAGGAGAGCTGTGGCACCAGGCACGCTGACAGCCCTTGGTTTACTGCGAGATCCCCTGCCCAAGGATGACAGAGTGGAGTGGCACCATATTCCCCTCACTACCTACATGGTCAGACTTCAGAGAACACTACCGTGGCCCCCAGTGGAGGTAGGAGCTGCTTACATCAAACCCTATCTCTCCCCCCATCACTGACTCTCCCACTTGCCTGGCAAGTGCATTTTCACTGGGGCAGGACTGACTCTGAGCAATTGTAGTGGGCCTCTCCCCCAGAAGACCAGCACAGGAAGCACCCCATATGCACCAAGTCTACTGATCATACAGTGCTTCAAAGCATCATCTTCAGTTCTGGTGGTAATAGAACCAGGCTGTATTTTTTTTCTTGTTCTTTTTTTTTTGTTTGTTTGGAATCATGCTTATAATTTTTTGTTTATTAGTTTGTTTTTTCATTTCCTTTTCTCTTCTTTTTTTTGGGATCAGGCTTTTTTTTTTTCCTTTATTTTTTTCCATGCTTATTTTAACAAACAAATCAAAGCACACCTAGTTAAAAATCCAAACACTTCCCACTGCAAGCAAGGAGGAACTCTGCAGAGGACCGACCAGTGGGAAAGAGCGCCAAAATGCAACAGCAGAGTACACACAGTATATATCAAAAACACTCCCTGAAGTGCCAGGCTGTGGATAGTGTATGACCACTTTTTAATATAACATTACTCTCAGGTGCAGAAAACATAACAAGCTTTCATAACATGCAAAAGACAGAAACTTAGCCTAAATGACAAGACAGAGGAACTCTCCCCAAAAGAAAGTTCAAGAAGAAATCATAGCCAAGGACTTGCTCAAAACACATATAAGCAATATATCTGAAAAAGAATTTAGAACAACAGTCATTAGACTACTAGATGGGTGTGAAAAAAGTATAGAAGACACCAGAGAAATCCTTGCTGCAGAGATAAAGGACCTAAAAACTAGTCAAGCTGAAATTAAAAAATGCTATAACTGAGATGCAATACCAATGGATATAATCACGAGGACTGAAGAAGCAGAGGAGAGAATAGGTGATATAGAAGATAAAATTATGGAAAATAATGAAGCTAAAAAGAAGAGGGAAAGAAAACTATTAGACCATAAAGGTAGACTTTGGGAACTCAGTGATTCCATAAAGCAAAATAATATCTGTAAGAGTCCCAGAGGAAGAGCAGGAAAAAGGGGTAGAAGGTGTATTTGAACAAATTATAGCTGAGAACTTCCCTAATCTGGTTAAGAAAACAGGCATTCAAGTCCAAGAGGCACAGAAAACTCCCCTCAAAATCAACAAAAGCAGGTCAACATCATGACATATCATAGCAAAACTTGCAAAATACAAAGATAAAGAGAGAATTCTGAAAGCCACTAGGGACAAAAGGTCCTTAACTTACAAGGGTAGACTACACAAGGTTAGCAGCTGACCTGTCTACAGAGACCTGGCAGGCCAGAAAGGAGTGGATGGAAATATTCAAAGTGCTACATGGGAAAAATATGCAGCCAAGAATACTTTATCTAGCAAGGCTGTTATTCAGAATAGGAGAGAGAAAGAGTTTCTAAGACAAGCAAAAACTATAGGAGTTCATGAACACTAAACCAGCTCTGCAAGAAATAAAGTGAACCCTTTGAGTGGGAAAGAGAGACCAAAAGAAACACAGAACAGAAAGGAACACAATCTACAGGAACAGCGACTTTACAGGTAATACAATGGCATTAAATTCGTATCTTTCAATAATGACTCTGAATGTAAATGGACTAAATGCTCCAATCAAAAGACAAAGGGTATCAGAACGGGTAAAAAAAAAATAAGACCCATCAATATGCTTACAAGAGATTCATTTTAGACCCAAAGACACCTCCAGATTGAAAGTGAGGGGTTGGAGGACCATTTGTCATGTTAATGGACATCAAAAGAAAGCTGGAGTAGCCATACTTATATTAGACATGCTAGATTTTAAACCAAAGACTGTAATAGGAGATGAAGAAAGCACTATATCATAATAAAGGAGTCTATCCAACAAGAAGATCTAACAATTGTAAATATTAATGCCCCTAACTTGGGAGCAGCCAAATATATAAATCAATTAATAACAAACTTAAAGAAATTCATTGATAATAATACAATAATAGTGGGGGACTTTAACACCTCACTCACAGCAATGGACAGATCATCTAAGCAGAAGATCAACAAGGAAACAAGGGCTTTGAATGACACACTGGACCAGATGGACTTCACAGATATATTCAGAGCCTTTCATCCAAAAGAAGCAGAATACACATTCTTTTCAAGTGCACATGGAACATTCTCCAGAATAGATGACATACTGGGTCATAAATCAGGCCTCAACCGGTATAAAAAGATTGAGATCATACCATGCATGTTTTCAGACCACAGTGCTATGAAACTTGAAGTCAACCACAAGAAA